CCCTCCGTTGCTTGTGGCTCTGTTGACTACCTAGACAGTAAGGTAGTCAAGGGTTGCGAAGGAGTTGTTGAACTTCCTAGGTAACAAGGGTGTTGTTGCACGAGGCTGTCTTCGACCGGGCCATTGGTTTCCGTCCGGGCTCGGGTGTCGTCCGGCAACCGGCCCATTGCTGCGCAGTGCCCACCTTTTACAGTTCCTTGTAACCGGATATGGTGGATGAACGGTTGGCACTTGACAGGCATTAGTACCGCGTTCATGGTTGCGGGCGGTCGGCCTCTGCTGACTTCACTTGCGGTTTTGCTGTGTAGGACCCAGGACGTCGTCCCATGAAAGTCCCTTGCCCAGAGTCCACAGATCGTATGCGTGTCTTACTCAGTTTAGCGCGGCTTGCTGCCAAACCCAGACGAAATCATGGATGACAACGGCCTATCCTTGCTGCCAGCAACCGTTTGTGTCAGGGACAACGCCTCGATGAGAATACCGCGATGCTACCTGCCTGCGTTAGTTTGCAACTTTACTTGAGTTTTTGCTTGGCAAACGTCTTGCCAACAAACGCGTGATCAGTGATCAGTGCCCGCAAATTGAGAGTAGTTCCTGTAGGCGTTGGCACTTCCCGAAGGTTGGTATTGAGTTGTGTTCCCCTTCATCGTCGGCCATCCATCGATTCGACCTCTTTACCCAGCCGTCCAGGAGGGGGGACACGCGGCAACGCGTCCCATACTATCCTATCCTGTCCAATCTTTCCACCAGTTCTCACAGCCTCCGGGCCCTCTCGCAGGGTAAGGAGTCAGACGCATGCCTGATTCAACGCTCGGGGACCCTATCTTCTCAATAGCTTAAGAAAAATTTCCTTCCCGCAACTGTCGAGTGGGCGGCTAGTATTCGTGGGTCATCGCGGTCAATATTGGCATGGGTGGTAATCAAACTATCGCCAGTCTCCTGACTGTAACCGGCAGTCTCATTCCGTGTTGTTGATGTTCTTCGTTTGTGACCTGGCTGTTAAATATGTGGCATCGAGCCTGGTGTTGCATCGTGAAAGGTCTCTTTTCCCTCCTCACCTCCAACCTTTAGTCCTTCCTTCTCCCCTCCCCTCCCTTCACTTCCTTCCGGCAAGTGATCGTGACCCTCGTCTTCAAGATGGTGTCTCTTCTCAGCTTGCTTACCCTCGCGCCCGCGGTGGTCTCGGCCTTTTCCATCGGCCGGGTAGGACCAGGCGGTATCAGACCTGAAAGCCCGCTCGGTCACGACATCGCACAGAGGGACTCGGCATGCCGCTGCTTTCCCGGCGAGGACTGCTGGCCGACGGCGGCGGAGTGGGACGCCTTCAACACAACAGTGGGAGGGCGCCTTATTGCCACGGTCCCCATCGGCGCAGTCTGCCACGACAGCTCCTTTGGCGCCTACGATGAGGCCAAGTGCACGGCTCTGCAGAACAGCTGGGCCGAAGCCGAGACGCACATCCAGACCTCGTCGTCGGTCATGGCCGCCTTCTTCGCCAACCAGAGCTGCGACCCCTTCCAAGATCGGACAGACCGCTGCATCATCGGCACCTACGTCCAGTATGCCGTCAAGGCCACCGGCGCTGACGACTACGCAAAGACGATCCGCTTCGCCCAGGACAACAACATCCGCTTCGTCATCCGCAACACCGGCCACGACTACCTCGGAAAGTCCACCGGCGCCGGCGCTCTCGCGCTCTGGACGCAGCACCTCAAGGACATCAGCGTCCTGGACTACAAGTCCACGAGCTATTCCGGTAAAGCGCTCAAGATCAGTGCCGGCGTCCAGGCCGGTGAGGCCCAGGCCGCCGCGCACGCTCAGGGGCTCGTTGTCGTGGGCGGCAACAGCCCGACCGTCGGCATCGCGGGAGGCTATACTCAGGGCGGCGGCCACGGGCCCCTCGTCTCAAAGTACGGTCTCGCCGCCGACCAGGTCCTCGAGTGGGAGGTCGTCACCTCGGAGGGCAACACGCTTGTCGCGACTCCGACCGCGAACTCGGACCTCTACTGGGCCCTCTCCGGCGGCGGTGGCGGCGTGTACGCTGCCGTCCTGTCCATGACCGTCAAGGCGTTCCCCGACACCATCGTCTCGTCCGCGAATCTCACCTTTACCAACTCGGGCGTCACGGACGACGTCTTCTACGGCGCCGTCACTACCTACCTGAAGACCCTGCCCACCATCGTCGACGCCGGTGCCGTCAGCATCTGGCTTCTCAGCGCCGGCGTGTTCATGATGCAGCCCACCACTCTTCCCAACAAGACCAAGGAGGAGCTCCAGGTCCTGCTCCAGCCCACTCTCGACGCCCTCGATACCGCCGGTATCACCTACGGTAAGTTGCAATCGTTTAGACCAGAGTAGGAAGGGGAAGTTACTAACACGGCCGTAGACTTCAACATTGGTCAATATACCAGCTACCTGGCCAGCTACAACGACATGAACCCGGAGCCCGCCGTCACCGAGTACAACATTGGGGGCCGTCTCCTCCCCCGCTCTCTCGTCGCCGACGACGCCTCTACCGCGAGCCTCGTTGACGCGCTGAAGAGCATCCTGGACAACGGCGGCATCGTCTCCGGTCTCACCGTCAACGTCGCCCGTCCCGCCAATGCCATCGCCAACGCAGTGAACCCGGCCTGGCGCACAGCCCTCATCTCTGCCGTCGTCGGAACGTAAGTCTTGTCTCCCCCTTTTGGTTTCCCCTCATAAAATCGCCACTCACACAATCGAAATGCAGCACCTACAGCCGCTCCGACTTCTCCACCCTCATCTCGGGTCAGTCCATGGTCTCGGACACGCTGATCCCGAAGCTCAAGGCGCTGACGCCCGGCGGCGGTGCGTACCTCAACGAGGCGGACCGCAACGAGGTCGACTTCCAGTCCACGTTCTACGGCAGCGCAAACTACGTCAAGCTCAGGGCGATCAAACAGCTCTACGACCCTTCCAGCACCTTTTACGCCCTGACGGGTGTCGGCAGCGAGGATTGGAAGGTGCAGAGCGACGGCCGCCTCTGCAAGGTTGCGTGATTGTGAGCAGGTGGAGATACGACGCTGAAGGCACTTACTTTATTTCTGACTTAACACACTTTTCTAATTTGAATACCAATACAAATTCGTTCAGTGCCTCGAAAATGAGTTGCTTCTCTTGTTGTTGCAGTGAAGTCAAGTGAGGCGTTTCAATAGGTAGTCACGTTGATAAAGCTACCTTATGATTTGTCAGCCAATCAGGTGTAGTAAGTTAGACGGATTAAGCAATTGAAACAAACCAATCGCGTCAACTCCAGCACCCCAGCTTGGTTCGATCAACAATGTTCCGCTTACGGCACCTGCTCGGGCTTGTATCGACTTGATGGACTTGCCTTTCCTTTTAACGGCAGCATCTACGGTGAAAGTCAATCATCCTAAACGGAAGCAGTCATTCCCAGCTCATGAAGATTTGCCAAATTCTGTTGTTGAAAGGCCTTGAAAGAAACGCGAGACTGCCGATTGTAGATGGTAGCTTGACGTTGCGTTTGTTGGGCTGCCGGTGATCCCATCTTCAAGGGCACGCGGGCAGCTCACTGGATCGACATCTGCCTTGGTCGGGGCTCTCGACTACAGAACTGGATCGCCAAGACTTTGATCACCTTGGGAGCGGAGGGTAGATGGTTTCGACAACGCGCACATTGTTGATTACTCTTACAAAGTTTGCCCCTTTCTGGTCTTCTCCCTTGTGTTGTTAGTATTGCTTACGTATGTCACCTAGAACCAAGACGCCACGGGCCAGTAGGATACCAAAGATAAGCGAATGATGCTCCAGACAAAGATGAATGCCGCACACTCAAGACAGACTGCGCCCAGCTTGGACTCGGTCGAACGCCAACCGAGCTGACAGTCGTGAAGCCTCACAGCAACAATTCATGAATTGACGACGCTTATGACTAGCAGAAACCTCATATTTAATTTCTCAGCCATTGCGATGCAACGGATTTTACCAGACCGAGGTACAACAGGTCGATGCTCAAGGTCAGGTCCCCAAGGAAGTGGTCCGAACACAAAATTGGCGGGCGACACGGCGTATTTACAACCGATGGGATGCGGTGTCTTACTTTGATAATGAGGATGGACAATGCTATGGATCGAACGAGTCCGCAGAGGATCGCGAGAGGCTTATCTCGCAGTAAACATTGCTGGCTTCCAAGATGGTCAAAGAGCGGACTGGGAGAAGGAAAAAGCTGAGCTTGCACCTCTGCTACAGCTTGACATTGCTCACAATTGACGCTATCACAAAAGCCCGGCTGGAAATCCGTATAAGCTTTTCGCATCCGTATTCGGTTTCCTCACTCGGCTTGCTCGGCTCCTTTCGATGCAGCAATCACCACGAACCAATGAGGACTCGACCGGCGGCAGTGGCCATTGGGACCTGCATGCTGAATCTGACAGGGCCTCTCATTCGTTGACCACCATATCTCAAGTCACCATGTGGGAAGTGCGCCTACCAGTTTGGCGCCATCTGGAAGGTGTCGAGTTGTCCCTGCGCATATCAATGGAGTTTTGAGGAGTGCCATTGACGTACTCGACCCGAGCTGCGCCCTCTTTGCTTGACAGAGAAATGGTAAGAAACCCGGCCCTCGGGCGACACTTGGGTCCCGGCTCGCGCGCGCAGACGATCTCGGGGACCCGCATGAGACGCGGGCGGCCGTTGCCCTGTGGCACACACCGCACATTTCCCAAAGAGGCAGTGACCTCTCTAGCTTCCCGTCCCGCCGGGCCCCCCCCCTTTGACTTTCCGTCTGAAATTTGTACAAGTCGAGACTCACCGCCAAACATCCCACCACCATACACTAATCCACCAAACCCCCAACGCTCGCTGCATCACATTCCCCTCCCTCTCTTCCTCGTCATTCATTCACCCCGCCCGCACCTGTTGCACTCTGGGTGCCCTTATTTTTCCATATCATCGTATTTTGTAATCAATTGAGAACTTCCTACGCAGTAGCAACAACATGATCGCAGCGCCTTGGGACAACGTCCCTCCCCGCGAACAGCTCTTCGTGCTGGTCACCGGCGCAAATAGGTGAACCACCATAACCCACTCATTCTCCTCGACCTTCTCTCTCTTCCATGTCTCACTCGACTCGTCTTGGACAGATTGAACTGACAATAGTCCCCAAAACCAGCGGGGTCGGCCTCGGCATCTGCGAACGCCTCATCGACGACTTCCTCGCGACCCGGCCCCTGACCTCCCACCTGATCCTCATCCCGACCACGCGCTCCCTCCGCAAGTCCCGCGAATCTATCGAGTCCCTCCGCGAGCACCTCCGTCGCACAGCCACCACCTCCCCGGCCCTCCGCTCCCGTGCCGGCTCCTCCTACTACGACCCGGACGACACTCTTGCCCGCGTCCACCTGCTCTCCACCCAGCTCGACCTCTGCGACCTCTCCTCCGTCTACGCCTGCGCCGCCAATCTCGTCGCCGGCACCCTTACCGACCCCACCGACCCCATCTCGCCCCCGCGCGCCTACAAGATCCCCCGCCTCGACTCCGTCGTATTCAACGCCGGCTTCGGCGGCTGGAGCGGTCTCGACTGGACCCGCCTCATGACCGACATCTTCACAAAGGGCCTCCTTTCCGTCCTCACCTGGCCCGCCTTCAAGCTCGCCAGCCCCGGCGCCGTCCTGAACCAGCGACCCGTCCGCTCCGACCTGGTACCCACAGACTCCCCCGATAACCCCCTCTCCCATGCCTCCGCTTACGATACCAAGCCCTCCTCCCCCGTGCTCGGTGAAGTCTTTTGCGCAAACGTCTTTGGCCACTATGTATTTGCCCATGAGCTACTCCCCTTGCTGAGCAGGGCCACTCCCGAAGAGACACCCGGTCGCGTCGTCTGGACAAGCAGCATTGAGCCTCAGGCGCGCCACTTCCGCCTCGACGACTTTCAAGGCGTCGAGACGGAAGGGCCGTATGAGTCCTCGAAGCGCCTGACAGATGTGCTGTCTCTGTCGTCCCACCTGCCCGCCACGCAGCGCGTCTCCAAATCCTACTTCACACCCGAAGACCCCAAAGTCGCACAGGCCCTACCAGTTCGTCCTTCCTTTTATCTCACGCACCCGGGCGTAATCGCCTCAAACCTCTTCCCCGTCCCCTTTCCTTTTATCCTTTTCTGGGCTTACAAGTTTGCGCTCTACCTCGCCCGCTGGTTGGGGTCGCCCTGGCATCCCGTCTCAGGGTACAACGGCGCGGTCGCGTCCGTGTGGATCGCGTTGCAGGACGACGAGACGCTCGAGGAGCTGGAAGCCAAAAAAATCAAGTGGGGCTCCGCTGCGTCGTTTTCTGGGCGGCAACATGTCAAGAAGACGGAGGTGGAAGGGTGGGGGTGGGAGGGTGCCGTCGAGGACCGCGATTCGCTGGCGAGGGACCCGGCGACGGGCGTGCTGAGGAAGGTTGTCGGGCGGAACGCCAACGCCAAGGACTTGAGCAAGGAGCAGGTGGTCGAATTCGAGGCGCTCGGGGTGGAGATTTGGGCTGAGATGGAGAGGTTGAGGCACCTGTGGGAAGAGTTCCTCGACATTCGCGGGGAGGGCGTCAACGGTCACAGTCACCATGCACAGTGACGGCAAATCTGGCTGACGGGGGTGCTTTCACAGTCGTGATAGAGGAGAAGAAAAGATGAAACGGTTTGTTTTGCAAACATACATGGGGTATCCAAAATTAACTACGTAGCACAAAGACTAATGCCTAATTACAACACACCACACCCACCTACTTCACTATCTACCGCGTACTCCCGCTACGCATCACATCTGTACGCACGCATTGGCTCTCCCCCCCGCGGCCGAGTAGGAGACTATGGATTCGCCGTCTCCCGTGTGTTCTGCCCATCAGATCTCACACGCCTGAGACTGATTCTATCCCTCCGACCAAACAAACCGAGGCACAGCGGGAACGGCACAACGACCAAGGCAATAACCCCCTCGAATATCAGCGCGTTCTTCATATTCTTTGGCGGATTCGCCTTGTCATCCGCCTGCAGCGCATCCGAGATGATGATGAAGAGCGCACCGAGCAGCTGCCCGCCCGCCCAGGCAATCGTGCTCGTGACTTCCGGGCTGACGGGATGACTCAGCTCGATGAGCAGCTCGAGGGCGACGGGGACGAGAGAGAAGGAGGCGGCGCCGATGACGGCGAGGACGACGTAGGGCCCGGCAATGTCGCGGGTTTCCGGCATCCAGACGAAGGCGAGGTAGCAGAGGCCGATGACGGGGATGGCGACTTTGATGGCGAGAACAAACTTTTTGGTGCGGTCGAGGATCGGGGATGTGATTGCGGAGGCGACGAGGCCAACGACAATGAGGATGGCGCCCGCGATGCCTGATTCTTCGTCGGAGAAGCCGTAGGGGGCCATCACTTGGTTCAAGAGGGAGGATAAAGAGTTGAAGAAACCGACGTAGAAGGCGTAGGGGATGAGGATGAGCCAGAGCTCGAGGGAGCGGAAGACAATTGACACCGAGTCGCGGATGCCGAGCTTGAGGGTGCGGGAGGAGGGCGCGGCCGGGGTAGGGGGCGCGGCGGGGATGAAGAAGGCGGGCAGGGAGGCGACGGTGGAGAGTATGGCAACGTAGAGGACGCCGTTAGACATGTCGGCGGGCTTGGTGATCCAGAAGGGGACAATGAGCTGGCCGAGGGCTGCGCCGAGCGGGTTGGCGAGGGACGTGAGGGCCGTGGCGGCGACGCGGCCCCGGTTGGTGAACCAGAGGTCCGAGTAGCGGGTGGGCGCGGCGAGGACAAAGGGCTGGGCGAGGCCGGTGAGGATCTGGCCGAACATGACGACGCCGTAGTTGCCCCCGTTGGCGATGCGGGCGTAGGAGCCGGCGTAGCGGATCCAGTTGCCGACGAGGATGAGGGCGGCGGCGGTCATGAAGGAGGGTTTGGGCCCCATGTGGAGGATGCGGATCGTGACGGGGAACATTACGACAAAGGAGAAGAGAAAGGCTGTTGAGAGCCAGTTTATGGCGGACTCGGAGACCTTGTAATAGGTTGCAGCGTTGGCGGCCACGGGGGCGAAGGTCAGCCACTGGGGTTTGATGTCAGTATTCATTCGGATTCTTGACTTTGTCTGCTTGGATTCCAGGACTGATCATTCGCCAGCCTTGCGATGATGTGCATACTGCATACAATGATGGCTTGCTGATGCAGGTACCCGAATACACATTTTTGCGATTCGTTCATGATGCGCCAGGAAGACGATAGAAAGAAAGAGAGAGGGAGAGAGAGAGACTTACATCCCAAGAGACGACAATGTTGAGCAAGGTCAGCTGCGCGAGCCCGAACCAGCGGCGCTTGTACGTGCGATACTCTACTGCGGTTCCCTCGAGGACGCTGTCATTGTCGCCGTCGATGCCACCAACAACGTTTACACTGCGCACCCCGCCGACGTGGATGGTGTCGTTCTCGCGTGACTGGGAGTCCACATCGCGGAGGTGGTATTCCTCGTCGCCGAGCTTGCCCAGGCCGAAGCCGGAACCGGGGTCGGCGTGGTTCGACATTGCCGTCGGTGCGGCAGCAGCGTCGGGGCCGAGAGGCAGAGGAGAGAGGGAAGAATTCGCGACCTTCTTCTCGTTCTCGTAGCCCTCTTCGGTGTGGTCTGCGCCTCCGGTAGTGGTGGTGATGGTGGTGATGTCGGTCGAGTTGTTGTCGGTGGTGGTGGTGTTGTCCACGGCCGAGGAGTCGTGTTTCGAACGGCGGGAGAAGTGCATTTTTGTCTTCTTTAGTGGGCGCGCGCGCCGCGGATCCAGAACAGGCGCTAAGTGGTCCGACTTTTAAGGGGGTAAGGACGCTTTGTGGATTTAGCGGGCGCCGGGTGGAATCTTTGGCCTAGACGTGTCTTGGCAGAGAGCTGTCTCTGACTTGGGACGTTCCACGCTTTGTCGTATAGAGCCTTTTGTGAGGTTGTCTCTCCTTCGTCGTCTCCAATTCCTCCAACAAATGCGCAAGAGAGAGAGAAGACGAGACGGGGGACAGTGCGCCCAGTGGATGGGCGGGGGAGGGGGCCAGAAGAGGAGAAGAGCGGCAAAAGAAGGATAAGCACGCCAATAAGCTCAAAAGGCAGAGAACTTAATAGAGAGAGGCAGGGCAGGTTGGGATATAAGCTGGAGAGAAAGCGGGGAGGTCGAGTTGAAAAGGGAATTTCGCAAGACGCGGGCGTGGGACAAGGGGCCAAATGCGGTGCAACTGATACGGGAGGCAGATTCCTTGTTAAGGTACTCTGTATCCGTATGGGAGGGTAACCTGTACGAAGAACCAGTTCCAACTTCCGAGTTGCAACCGAGACTGCAGAAGATCCCTCCCGTATCTACTTTACTGTCCAACTTCCCCCGGCCTGGACTGGTGTGCCGTGTGCTGCGGGGCTTGCGCCGTGTTGGTCCAGAATCGAGTTTTCCCTCCAGCTTCGACCATTACATCGAGGGGACATGGCGCTAGAATTCTCCTCCTCGCACGCTTCTCTTTCATTCAAAAGCAGCTCGGCACATTGGCGCATCATTCACTGTTCAATCGTTCCTGGATGAGAGGGAAATCCGTCGAGACTCGCGAACTGAAGGAATGGTGGGAAGAGGGTGGGAGGGGGCGACCAGCTCACGTCTAGACGAACCGCTGTACAAGGAAGGTTTGATAACTCCAAGAGAAGGTCAAGAACCTTTTGGAGATGGTTCACATGCCCCAGCCGAGGAACCAGCCGGCCAGAGATAAGCATCCATCTATCATACCTTATAAGAGATCCATAGTGCAACCAACAGAATCGGGGGGCCTTCTCAAACTTCTCTAGGCTGCAGCAACTGCGGGGGATGGTGCGGCCGTGTGAGAGACCCTTCCCCTGTACTCGACCTCCCCATTGGCCCGCCGCCCGGCCTAATATGTCGCATTGGGGCACCTCTCCCGGCTCCAATGATCCTCCTCCGCTCCACACAACAACAGGAAAGCGGCAGGCCCAACACACATCCTGTCCCGGAACCAAGGTTTGGTAAATGTCTCCCCCCCTCGGGATCAAAAATTGTCTTCCATTTCTAAGGTATGAACCTTGGTTCAAGTGGCGTACCTACTCTGCTGTTGGAGACATTCAACAACGCAGAGCCCTCTTCCTCAAACAGGCAAATAGAGAGCAGACAGTACTCCGTAGACTCTAGCAACTTGAGAGCGCCGAACCCCATTGCCCGGATCTGTCGACTAGCATCTACATTTGCTCTCTCGAGCACCCTTCATCCCACTGCTTCGCCGCACACGAGCAGATTTACTGCGTGCCGGCTCCATTCCTCATTCCGCGGCCGCCGGAGCGCGGTCGCGCCATGAGCTCGCTCGCCTAGTAGCCTGCCTGCTCCTTTGAGATTAGCTGATCGACTTTGTCTCGTCGGCTGTCACACGCACACACATAAACCACCAGCAATCAAATCATTCCGTTATGCTAGGCATCCAGAATCGGTTTACTCTGGGAGGGCAATCCAGACGATGATAAGCTTTCATGTCTCGCAAATCTGACCGCGGCCCCTTGGTTCAGATGAGCTCTTGCATTCGATCTCGATAATCATCTATCATCTCAGTAGTAGCTCATGAGCCAAGACTTAGTAAAGACTACGAGCCCGCCATTCGGACGAAGCGTGGCTCAAACCCGGCATCCTCTGAGATTCGCTTGCACGTAAAGTCATAGAGGAATCTATTGCGGAATATGCCTATGGTACAAGAGACAAAAGCTTCAGTGCCGCAAGCCAGACAGCGCCCACTGCTGGGCAACCCGGCTTGACGGGCACCATGGGGAGGAGGAGGAGGAGGTACAAAATAGTTGGCCCCAAAGGACCGGGATCGAGTGTCTGACAGTTCGTTCTCGTCTCGTCTCGGTATCGGCTTCTCTCTCTCACGAGTCCACCTACTAGAAATAGATCAAACCAGTCGTCCGAAGCCGCTGATGCGAAAGTGGTCTCGCAGAGATAATCGCCGATGCCGTTCCGTCGATATCGTCTCCAAGGTCAAGGCTGGATTTTGTTTACTTGAGCTTGGCCCAGAGCTTGGGGGCGGCGCACTGAGTAGCGCAGTGAGCGAGGTGGAAGACTGCACGGTAACATCAGTTCATCGTCCTGCAATGAGGACCTACTTCCGCCACATGACGGGTAGGTGGAAGTCATATTTCCTTGGTGACAACTTACACTCCTCGACGCAGTCCTCCTTGGCACCCTCCTCGCTGTCGGCAGCTGCGGTGACGCGCTCAACGCACTCATCGTAGTGGTGCTTAGCCGGTGCGCAAGCCTTGGACTCCTCGCAGTCTGTCAACCACTTTGTCAGCAAGTCGTTTCAATGCTTTGGCACTATCGCACATCGTGTCTACGGATGGAAGCGGCGTCGGTTCTCGATGGAGGTAGCAGTATTGCTCATGTGCGTGTCATCGACTTTCCCGCCATCACCCGGATATCGCGTAGTCATCGAATCGTCGGGAGTAAGACGAACCTTTCTCGAGCTGCTCCTTGGGGTCGACGGTCTCCTCCTCGTCCTCCTCTTCCTCTTCCTCCTCGTCCTCTGCTTCCTCCTCCTCAGCCTCGGGCTCCTCCTTGGACTCCTCCTCAGCGGTTTCCTCCTCCTATGGAATAAGACATTAGCCAACGACTCGAACTGTGCGGTTTGTCGGGAAAAAATTGCAGAGATGCAATCGAGGCCGTGGCGGAAAAGAAAACGGAGTGTGATGATCGTCAAGAGCGCGTTTTCCAACGTCCTCTCGCCTGACCTCAAGTCGTTCTGCAACAAATTGCGCAAGCTCTCACCTTCTCCTCGGCGGCAGGAGCCTCGGCCTCGACGGTGGCCCAAGGCATGGCGGCCTCAGCGAGGTCCGTGATGGTATCCCAGAAACCCATTTTGGCGGAGGTGCGTGCTCTCAATGGCTTGACGTGATGTCGTGAATTTGGTGATGGGAGGAAGTCGGAAGCTTTCGGCAGAGTGCAGACGAAAACTGGGTGTCTGAATCGGTCGTAAGTTATTCCCAATTGGCCCATTTTGATTGGCTGCGGCGGAAAGGCTGGCTGGGTGACTAAGCGTCATCGAAAATGACCGTGACCCGGAGCGCCAAGGATCTGACTTTCCGATGCGCAGTTCTACCTTTTGGACCGGCGTAAGCTCCAAATCACATCGTCACAGTCACATGGGAAAAATATCAAGCAGAAAAAAGTTATGGGGAAGAAACGTTACTCGCATGTTTGCGTCAAGCTTCCAGCGTTAAATTCAACCATCATGCTCAGTGGCGAACACTTATCAAATATGTACCTATCCGTGCCCTGCGAGCCGGCCCACGCACAGCACACTCATGCCCCTTTCTCTTGTTCCTGGGGCATGGATCCCAATCCTCATTCTCCTCATCAAGACGTGCCCGTCATTCTCTACACTTCAAGTTCGTTAAGAAACGCAGGATCCGCCAGCCGCTAGTGTAGATGCTATAAAAAGTTACAGGTGTAGGGAGTGAAATGCAGGAAGGTATCGATGCATAGCGTTAGTCATGAGGCCCGTGATAATCAAAACCCCGCTATGCTCTGTCAGACTCTTCGCGAACGTGATCCTCGAGTCGCATGCTGAGCGTCTGTGCCTGCGCCTCATCATAATTCGGTGGGGGTTCGTCCGGACGTCGGTTCGCATTCTGGCCCCCCGAACTCGCAGGCCGGCCCGCCGGCTCTTCCTGCTGTTGCGGTGCGATGGTGCTCGGAGCCACTCCGCCGCCTTCGGTCGCTTCGTAGGCCGGCAGCGGCTCGTCCGGAATGTTGACCGCCTGCCCCGTCTCCTGCTGCAGACGCCTCACATGCTCGAGGCGTTCCTTGAGCTCCTCGAACCTTTGCCGGAACTCGCTGTGGCCGCCCTCCTTGAAGCTCAGCTTTACTTCGACCCGTGGTATGTCGGCAGGCACGCCGCCTCCAGAAACCGGCACGACAGTGGCAGACCAGAACCAGGCGCCAAAGAATGGTGAGCCAACGTACGAATCGGCGCAGTTCAAAATTGGCGCATGAAACGACTTGAACTCGGGGGTAGGTTTTGCAGGAATGTAAATGACCTGAATGAGGGTTATCAGCTAGCCCTCCGGCGCCATGTCTCGGGATAAGTCATTCAATGCGTACCCGCTGTGTTGTGATGTATGCCGTGCCATTGTCGCTCTTGCGCGCAAAGGGCGTCCTCCCTTGCTGTAAGGCCTTGGGTACCGACAGCTCAAGACTGACCTTGGCATTGGATCTGTGTCTGATGTGTTCGTGAGGAAGAGGGTTGATATCACCCGTCTGGGTGATCATGACCCAACTATCGCCATGGTCAGAATCTAGGCGGGCTTGGGCAAGCTGTCGTTCTCTCTGGACGGTGCGGGCAATAGTGAGGGCATGCTGCTCTTGCAGATACTGATCCGTCATGGTGGACGGCGAGTGTGGGGTGGTAGCCGAGACGAGAAGAGAAGAGGTTGAGGTTGGCGGCGGGGTACCACGGACACTGACCGGGATGGCTCCGTGGTGCTGGGGCTCGGGCGGCGTGGGATGACGGGAAGATGAAGGGGAAACAGACGGAGAGCATAGGAGGAAAGGGAACATGGAGGAACGTACTTTATTGACATTTTGAACGAAACGGCGAGCAGCTGCAGCGCAGAGCTTCCTAGTTCGTCTCAGCAAGTTGAGGGTTGCGTGGGAGTGGGCGTGGTCGGTAGCGGCAGGGCTTGCAGAGAAGCTTCCGAGATCTGGATGCTTGTGGTGGGGTGGATCCTGGTACAGGCACAGGCACAGGGGAGGTACTTTGTGGGAAGGGGAAAAGGGCGTCGCGTTCTGGGCAGCGGCGAAGGCGGCGTCGGCATCGGCGTCGGCGTCGGCGGGTGTTGAGAACTGCTGGTGCTGGTGCTGGTGCTGGTGCTGCGGCTGCGGCTGCTGTCTGATACAGGTCGAGGCGGCAAGAGGAGAGCGAAGCGAGTGAGTAAGTGACTGAGAGAGGCGCACCGGAGGGGTGGGAAAGGATGCAGAGGCTGATAGCGTCAGTCAGGCATTAGCTGTGCGGATAAGAAGCGTAAGGCAAAGCACAGGGCAAGGTCAGGTATGGTAAGGTATACGACAGGGTCTTTGTGGACAGGGTGGAGGAAATAAGGTACCTTGTGCTTGAGTGAGGCAAGGCGCGGCAAGGCCAGGCAAATAGATGTCGTAGAGGGCAAAGACCGAAGGGAGCGGGCCAGGCAAGACGACAGAGCTCAACCAAACGAAGAAGAGGAGAAAGCCAGGTTGCGGCAACTACTCTGGCTAGTCCGACGACGGTGGCTGGGGAAGTTCGGATGCGTAGGTAGACGAGGTGGGGGAGGGGTTCTGTGACAAGACAAGCAATGGTGTGATGAGATGGGATGGGATGCGAAGGCCAGAGGAGCAAGAGGAGGAGGATTCTGTCATCAACCTGAGGTGAGATGGGTGTGTAGTCAGTGTATTGCGGATAAGGTCGACGAGACAAGGTGAGGTGAAGAAAGTACCCAAAAGGTAGCCAGTAGCCGTACCTGTGCGTGCTTCTTCGGCTTGGGAGCGGGGGACCCAATGAGAGACACCGGCGCGCCGCACAACTGGATGAATGTGTCCACAGAGGTGAGAGAGTGTGTGTGTGAGTGTCGATTGGATCCAGACCCAGGTGTCTCCAAAAAGTCTCCAACCGACTCTGGGCCGTGGTGTTGAGTCCTGTGTCTCTGCGGGTTCCCGGGGTCCTGTCTTTCTCTTTCTCCCTCTCTCTCTCTCTCTCTCTCTCTCTCATCTTTTTGCTGCCTTGTTGCTGCTAGTTCACCCAAGTCGTCCAACGTCTGTGGATTCGCTGCGTCTTGTTTGGTCCGCTGCTCGCTACTGTTGGGTTCCATTGTTTGCTTCTGCCGTCCGCGCAGAAGGGAACTGAAGCTACCTTGCCTTAGCGTCCCAGGTACACAGTACGTTGCTTGCTTCTTGCTTGTTTGAGCTACTGACTGCTCCTGCGTGAAGAACGATGGGGTCTCAACTGGAGTACCCTATGAATCGCTTTCCTTGCCCTTGATCCTCATTCTCCTCCTCCGGCCTAGGTAACGTACTATGTACTCATCCACCAGTCGTCGAGAGGTTTAGAGGTCGCAGGTGTGGATGAGGTGCCAGCGACATGGGCCCTGCTGGTCAGAACTGCTGCAGCCCAGGACAAGAGTCTGAACGAATGAGCTCAGCGCTTGGCCAGGGTTGGCTGGGTCGGTCCTTTGCGACCACTGCAGGCATGGATCACGCAGTAGCAACAGGCCTGGGACCCGTCTGCTCAATGCAAATTTGTGAGATTGCGGAGCTTGAAGCGACGTCGTCCTGCAGTTGGCCCAATTGACTGAGCCTGGGGTCTGTACTTGATCTGATCCGTCTGAGGTTTACCTGCCAGGCGGCGCAAAAGTGGGAAAGGTGTCCAAGTTGCCCCCTACCTCTTCCTAGGGAGCCATGTTGTGGTAAGTCTTGACTAAGGACCGGCGGACGGGCGACCCCCAATGTCGACCGAGATAGCAACCGGCTTCTGGCATCTGCTGCTGGTCTCTCTGCCCTGCTGCCCTGCGTGCTCCGGGTTGCTAAGGTAGGTACGGATAGAGTGACAGTAGCAGTCATTGACCTTGGAGATCTCTCTTCAAGAGGGACGGATGACCAGGTCTAAGACCAGATTACCAGGAAGAGTGCAGACCAGGGATTTCGGGATGGACGCGCCGATCCTTTTGCACCCAACTCGAGCCAGGAACCCTCGTCTTGAAACAAAGCTACCATGAAGCTCTCCCGCCTGTATTGGCTCGGTGAGCAGCTTTCACCCTGTGACGGCAACGACAATGCCTCGGGCTTTGATGCGAGGCTCGCCATCTCCAGCTCGACTTCTCGGGTTTCCCAGAAAGGCAGTGAACCATGATTATGAACCCAAGCAGGGCACGCCATGTCTTGGTGCCTGAAGACGACTCCGACGAGTCCGATAACGATCTCATTTGTACCCAATTGCCCTGTGTGACTCGATCGTGGCACGCCTGGCACTGGATACTGGACAGTCAGTATCAGTCATGGGATATTATGAACCCCAAGGCCCAAGCCGGCGCAACGCGCGGTGCGGCATATGTCTCACTCAGAGACCAGACGAACAGATGTCAGTTGTTTTGCATGTTTTGGAAAAAGAAAAGAAGGTGTCTGCCCCGAGTCAAGCGGAATGACTCGAAATGGCTGCTGGTCAGCTCGTGCCTCAGACAGAGAGACGGGATAATCAGACTGGGGAGCTCGAGTTGAGACCCAGGGAGGAGGGAGAGTTTGTGGAAACCATCCAGTGTGTTCCCGTTCCCCGTCAGGACCAGTACCATGAATATGATCTTCAGCGGCCCGGGACTTGCCATGACATCGGGGCCGTCGAGCATGCGGTCGTCGGGCTTTGTCCACCCACGTCCCACGGTCAGCCAACCCAGTGCAAGACGCAGACCCAGCCAGAAACAACTTTGCAAAGGCAGCGCCAGTGGCGGGCTCACATTCATCGTCGAGGTCTCCATTCTGGTAGCGAGTGCTGCGTGGTCGGCAACATGCCTGCGGCGTGCCCAAATGGCACCCCTGATCATTGCCCCGCTTGGAACCCGGTAATATACGGAGATCTCTGGCGGGGGTTTCTGGAGGAGACCGGGGCCCTGGCGCGGTGGCTGTGGACAACTTGTGTGCTTGACAAGCAGACGGGACAGTGAGGTGCTGGTGGACTGCTGGTGGACAGACCCTGCCCCGTTCACGGTGGGTAGCCAGTGACGAGCGCTCCGTGTCATGTCCACGGAGTCGTCGCCATCTCGGTATCTCTCTCGTGGCCCGGCGATTGGCCCCGGTGAGTGAGGGGTATACATTGTAGTGTAGTGTAGCCCAAATTTGAGGCCAGTGTTGCATTGCCAATGATTCGAGAGGCTGCTGAAGGGGATGCAAGGTGCATGGGGCAGACGGAGTAGAGGCCAGCGTTGAGCACCTACAGACTACAGTACCTATAGGCATTGGCGAAGAGAGTTGAGACCACTGCAGGATCGCATCACACTAAGGTACCCTATCCTCGCTTACATAGTATTTGCTTCTGGATATCTTGGGAGACTAAGGTAGGATGGGTACCTTAATCCGAGGTAGGTAAGGAGGAGACACGGCCGTGAGTGACGAGACGGGAATTGGAGGTGAAGACTCCAGCTCGCAACGCTCTTGTCCTGCCCGTTCTCCTCATTAACTCCTGTCCATGCCTGCCTTCTACCTTATGTCTGAGGAACCTATCAGGTACATGCATTTATCGCCACGTGAGGTCGCGATAAGGTGCGAAGCATCGCCGTTCTTGCCCTCCCGGTGCATCGACGTTGGCCATTGGCCGGTAGTGCGAGGCGTTGCTTCCTAATTGGAGCTGGAGATCCCGTCGTCTTGTCGCACCCGCTGGCCCCTTCCGAGTCTAGAATCCTCCCCAGGGTGACAACCTGGAAGCCGAACTTCCCTCACCTTGCTTACGGTACAGTAGGACCTGACGTGCTTACCTTACCAAGGCACGGAGCACCTGCCTGACCTTACTCGCGGGAGTCGTGGCTGGACTCGGCGACATGGCGAGACGCAACGAACATCACTCTCTTCTTTGAGCCGCAGAGAAGCACGCCGCCCACGTCCACATCCTTCGCAATGTAAGATTCTGACCGCTTGTCCGGATCTTCTCCCCTCTTTCAGGAACATGCGAGTTCCGAGGGCCACATCTCGGACACTTCCATTGGAACCGACCCATCTCGAAGGCCAGGTACCTTACGGATACCTTGCACTGCAACTCGCCTGCTTCCAAGTTCCCTGTCCGCCCATTTCCCCATGCTACCAGAAGTCGCGCGGCGCAGCGAAGGAGCTGCATGAGAAGCGAGCGCACGCCGCACACACACAATGTCATTATCTACACTTGGACGGATAATCACGCTACGAATACAGGCGCTCAATCATCCTCCCCCGCCGCCTACCACCCCATCATGTGACTGATCGACCCATTCACATACAAGTTGCGGATCGACAGGATAGTTCTTGTCTTAGAACTTTTTCTCCTGTCTCACCACCGGCGACACCTGCTACTGGCCTACTGCTGCCGTCTGCGCACACTGGCAAGACTGATTCGACGTGTGTGTCGGAGGCGGAGATAATCGGCCAATGGCAACAATCGGCCAATGAATCGAATCAGTCAAGGTGCCTTCATTCTCCGGCAGGCATACGTGCGACTGCTGCACCTCAACTCCACCAGTCTCACTATCGGATTCCTGCCTACGCCTATATAGGTTCTTAATCCGCCGGGTTCCCTGGACCCGGTAGATGGGCTGTTCGACTAGGCCGGTATCGCGCCTCTTGAACGATCAATAGAGCCGTCGGCTTATTTCCGCACTCGCGCTCTTGTGAGGGTCAACGTTGCTGCGTCAAACAACGTCTCTGCAGGAAATGCAATGTTGGAAACATCTAGAAGGCCGCACGGCGTTTGCGCAACTGCCAAGGTGGCACTGCAGCAGTCCCAACTTATATACCGAGAGTACCTTAATGCACCGCGTACGCGCAGTACCATGGATACTGCACGCAGAAACTCCAAGACGGTCCCCCACCAAGCACAAGCCTCGAACGTGCATTCCTGCAAAGCCCACCCTCCCCCATCTGGGACGGCATCTGATTGGAGGGATTGTCCCACAGCGGCTCCCAAGCATCCAACATCACCCGAACCCCAGTTGCGTCAAACGCCTGAGCTCTAGGAACCAAGCCAGACGATGCAAGCAGTTATCTCACTTGTTCACAACATCTTCCGTTTGAGTATTATCTTGTCCACCCGCAATTCTGTAGTTGCACCATCTGACCCTATATCGCCTCCAAAGTTGTCTATTGTCTCTGAACTTTTTGCTCGCATTTCATTCCGCTACCGAGTACCTTAGTCGCTTCACGTTACCATGACCAACACGGACGACGCACGAATTGTAGCTCTTCAAAAGTTCACCGCCTGTGATATTTCGGATGCGCTGGTGAAGCTCAAAGTGCCCGGAGCTGGCTTCTTGCCTGATCTGCAACTGCTGGGCCAACCGAACCCCGCAGATGCTCCCATCACCATAGCACCAGCGTCCACGATACTCTTTGCTCGAAAGGGGGAGACACTGGATTCGCCCCCAGCCAACATTCCCAAAAACACACACTGGGCAGATATCACCCAGCCGGGTACAATCGTGATCATCAGACAGCCCGACGGACAGAAGAATGCCGTCTGCGGAGGCATCATGGCCGTCAGGATGAAAGTTCGGCAAGCGAAGGCGGTCGTGGTAGTTGGTCGTGCCAGGGATCTAGATGAACTAGCCAGTACGGGTCTACCGGTGAGTCGAATGAAACACACAAGTCCTTTACTTTCTTCCCCAAGTCCCTTAATAAAGCTGACCGGTGGTCGCTGAACTTTCCCAGGTCTGGGCAAGGGGACTCTCCACGGTTGGTGCCGGGGCTGAGAGCACTCCTTGGGCAGTCCAGGTACCTATCAAAGTTGACGGCACGGTCGTCAACCCTGGTGATCTCGTTTTCGCTGATCCGGTGAATGGGGTTGTCGTCATCCCCGAGGATAAAGTCGACCAGGTGCTGGACCTCCTCCCCAAGCTGACGGCTGCCGACGAAAAGGTCAAGGCGGACGTGCTGAATGGGACGACCGTGTTTGACGCCTTTCAGGCGCACCGGAGCAATCTCTAAATCTATCCCAGTTGAAGGTATGTCCGTACCTTACCATCACCGGGAACTTTCGGGCTCGACTGGGTGACGAAGTCCTGTGGACAACGAATCATTCGCTACACTGCACCAACAGCTGCGCTCTGCACCTACTCCTACACTGTGACTTTACGGGGAGCGTTGGGGGAGGGAAAGTATGGTCTTGTTGCCGTGGGGTGGTGCTCCATCGTTGGACGATGCCGTTATCCAAGGACCTGGATAGGGGGAGGGATGCATCCATTGGGAGCTACCTATGCAATGCACAACCCGTCTTCTCGTCACAATTCTCTTGCCGAGTCCAACGCACTGATAGTACTCACGAGCACAAGGGTATCTTACACCAGCAGCAACACTAACTACCGTACCATGACGAGTCCACGACGAACCCCTAGCATCTTCCCATAGGTTCTGACCCTGGACTCCTTCGCAAATCATGCACCGAGACCGCACTCTGATCTACCTTACCAGCGGGAAAGGGTTGGCTGTCTGTGCAACCCCCCCCCCCCCCCCCCCCCCCCCCCCACCCACCCCCCCCCCCCCCCCCACCCCCGCCCCCCGCTCCCCCCCCGCCCCCCCCCCCCCGCCCGCCCCCCGCCCGGCCGGGCGCCCCCCCCCCCCCCCCCCCCGTCGCCTTCCAAGAAACTCATCTGCCATTTTGAGGCCCGACGGCTTGTCCGGCATCCGTGCCCTCAGCTCAGGCTGACCGCCCCCAATCTCTCTCCCCCTGCCTTCTTCCGTTCTTGCTTAGCAACTTTGGAGCTTCATCATGTCTAGGCTGGCTGGCTTCTGTCAGATTTCACGTTTCCTTTCCCCTGGAAATCAGCAGCAAAAACTGTCCGGAGCTCCTCCCCACCCTCCTGTTAGACCCT